CGTCCAAGATCCATCGGTTCTCCGGGCACACGGCGGCAGACCCGGCGTACTACTCGCAACGCGCCAAAGGGGACAGACACGCCAGCGGCAATAGGGAGAGGGGGGGGGGGGGTCACCCGCTTGTATGCCGGTCGTAGCAGAGTGTTGGAGTAATGGGTAGAGACCTTGCCGTAGTTGCCCCGCATCCCTAACCGCATCTCTAACCCTAACTAACTCTCATGTCTTGATCGAGTTACCATGTTCCATTGAGTGACCCACCAGGGTAACAAAGGATGCGGCTGGCAATAGTTTTCGCTTTTTTAGTAGTTTTGCATTTTTTGGTCGTCCACGGACACCGCCCGCTTGTCCCCCTCCCGCAAAGTGCGCCACTATTTTTGCTCTTTGATGTCGTGGGCTCTCGCTACGGGACGAGGGCTGAAGCTGATGCGCTGTTGTAGCGCTTGGAGGAAAGAAAAGCTACTGACGAGCGGCGTCTTTTGCCGCCTTGTACGCGCAGGTACGCCTTCAAGCGCCCTCCCTTTACAGCATGTAGTGCGGCGTATCGAATGCGTACAGAAGGGAGTAGAATTGCATCTTGACTTCGACAGCTACTACTCACCGCGGCGTCGACATGCAGCCACGGCACGAGCGTCTCCGACCCTTCCTCTTCCGTGCTCTCTCCTGTCGAGAAGCTACGCGAGAGCGCGAGGGAGGGGCAATCACAAACAAAACAAACACACACACACACACACACACGGCGGGCGTTTCGTTGAAAAACGTGCCGTCAGATAAAACAAGCGGCGACAAGACAGTAAAACCCCCCTTTTTGTCATAGAGAAAAACAAAGCACAAGAAACAGCAAGCGTTGAGAGAAGGCAGCCTGTTAAACGGCACGAAAATGTTCCAAACCGAAGAAAGAACTTTTCAAAGCACTCATCACCTGCAACGCCTTGCTTTGGGGGCAGGGGGGGCAGGGTACTTATGCATACGATGACCAAAGCCAGCAAGAACCGTCTTGTTGCTCTAGAGGACCGAAAAAACACCACAGCGCGTGCCTCCCCCCCCCCATACCCCCTGCCTCTAGACAACCTACGAACAGCCAAACCTGAAAGAGAATACACCTCCTACTCGTACGCCATACACCGAAACCGAATCGTTTGGCACACTCTGCCAAAAGCTACGATTTTTGTCGACGAAATACGATTTGCTGTCATCAGCCTCGACCTCGACCTAAAAGAAGTACCTGGTAAGACTCATCGTCAGTCAAGGCCAGCCAACCCCGAAAACCAGCCACCACACCTGCGGCAAGCTTCCCCGAGCGAGCGAACGGGATCCACGGCGCAAGTGTTCGTCGAGCCGACGTTCGCGCTCACGAACACCGGCGTCAGGCCGGCGGCCTCGTCCTCCCGCATGGCCTCCGACAGCTCGCCGGCGTCCAGGGTGTAGCACCGCTGCCCGTCCTCGCCGCTCCCCCGGGTGGGGATGAGGCGCAGGTTGGACCCGAGCCCGGCGATGTTGGCCGCCTTCTGCACGGACGAGTGGGCCTGGCCCCGATGTGGAGAGAGAGGGAGAGACGGGGGCGCGGGGGGGAGGAGGTAGGGAGAGCGGTGATGGAGGTGGATCGTGAGTAAATACGCGTGTCTGTTTGGTGTGTGTCGGGCTAGGCCGTGAAACGAGACCGGCAGAGGGCCATGCCGTGGTGTTGAGAAAATGCTAGGTATCAGGCTCTGAAGACACTCACGACCTTCAATAATCGAAGCGCTCAAGGCCAGCAGGCTGGGGCCGCCAGTACCCGCGCGGGACCCTGAAGCGGTGAAAGCCAGGTCATCGGTGGGACCAGAAAAATACAGATGTGCTGCGTCCGTGGCGTGCTTGCGACACGTACAACTTCACCCACAGAATGTCTTGCGCCAAGCACCAATGCTTCACCACTCACTGGCGCGTCGTCTATGATATGCTTGCCACCGGCACAATAGACACCCACACACATGCGCAAACGCACTGAAAAAGGACGAAAACGTACCTGATCGCTGGCGTAAAGGGTCATCTTCGCCAGCAGCTCGCTATCGCTTACCCCGGCAGGGCTCCGCCTCCGCATGTGCTTGAGAGCCCTCGTCCTCGCCGCCAGCACGGCGACCAAGGTGCTCTCGCTCGCGGACCCCTGGATGACCCCGCCCCCCCCGCCCCCCCCGCTCGACAAGAACGCCTCGGGGAGATCCACCGCCCTCCCGAGCTGATCTACCGGCACAAGAGACGGGCACCAACCACGGGTACACGAACGGGGGCTGGTATCCATCCGCACGGGCGTGTATCGTAGAGGAACACCGACACCGTCACTCAACGTTCCCAATTGTACCCCGCGCGACGCCCGGGAACCAATGTAACGTTTCTAACCTACGTCTGAAGAAGGGGCTCCGCCGCCATCAGCTCACCGAGGACCACGGTCTCCAACTCTGTCGACGCGGGGCTGGCCTCCCAGCTGAAGCCTATCACGTTGAACATCGACGCCAGCATGTCGCCCAAGATGGCGGGAGGGGAAGAAGCGGCCGGATACCACGCGAAGAACCTTGTCACATCAGAGTCGGCCGGTGGGATTGTGGGAGGAGTCAGAAGCACGACGGGCGTCTACACGCAGGTGAACAACAACGAGTACCTGGAGTGCTTGTCTACCTAGAGAGAAGCGTGCAGGGGCTCCGTAGAATGACACCGAGACACGTCTGCATGGGGGAACTTCTTCGTTGGGTCAGCCGTACCAGTACATGTTTTCGCGGCCGAGGGGGATGGAAATTTTGCTACGGCGCCACGGACGAAGAGACGGCTCGGTTAAGAAACCGTTTCAAGCCCGTGCCACTGGGTGGAACAAGGAGCACCGGGACAACACATCGCTGGGCATGTACACACCTGCCGATTGTACTAATCGAGTCTTCACTCGGCATTTGACTTATATGAGATTTCGTGGACTGCAGAAAAGTGGCTGACAAAGAAGAAGCGCAACCGCTCCCGCCGTTCACGATAGCTCCATAAGAACTCCGACACGAATGCATAGCATTCTCTCTGGCGCTCCAAGCGTGACCGCGTGCAGAATTGTCGGGCCGCCAGCACGTGTTCTAGGTCTTCAAACATCACAGCACCAGCAACGTGGCGACCGCTGGGCACACACCTTGGGTGTTGCCAGTGGGTAATCCCGGGCATGATGTGCGACTCCACGTCCGCCATGATGTCGCTCCAAACCTCACCCTTCGTCGGAAACTCTCGCTGTGTCAGCCGTTTCTGGTTGAGGCGGCGGCGGCGGCGGGGAGTGACAGTGCAAATGAGATAAGGATTCCACTCAAGCATTGAAAGAAAGCTCGAATGGAGTTGACAATGGGTCTGCTTTTACGTGTCAAGAACTGCTTTCGACGAGTTGCGCCCGCGCGGCGTTGCCTCGGTCGGTAAACCAGCTCTGGGGTACATGCTTGCCCAGGAGAACCATCAAGGACGGGAGAGAAAACACCGCGCGTAGTAGGCCACGGGCACAAGACAGCAGTAGTTAGAAGTGGTTTACCCGAAAGTAGTCGCCGTGCAAGTGCCGATCATCCGTGCTTCTCCAAGCTTTCGTCCATAATATTGCTCTGGTTCGGGTCATTCCGCGGATGTGCACAAAAGTTTACGTCGTCCACTACGTAGTCCTTTGGCTATGCACGCCCCGCTTGGGCCACACCCACATGAGCAAACCGAACGGTTTCCACCCCTGCAAAAGAGGGCACACCTTCAGGTATCCAGGTTCCACGATCGCCCGGACTGGGAGGGACTCGACCCCTTGGTAGTAGTCGGCGATGTAGTCAACCATCGACCGCCCCAGCAGGCGAAACGGCTCCCAGTCGGAAACGTCGGCCTCGCCCTCCCAGCCCTCAGCCCCGAACAACGGCCGCCGCGGTTCATCTGCTGAACCTGCTGGCCGCAGCCTCGGGACCCTCTGCCACAGCAGGTGCAACCCGAAGCGGCAAGGATCGAACGGGTACGGTAGACTCCTGTGTTTTTGCTGTAGACATATTCGTACACTGAAAATAGCAGGTGCGGCAAGCAACGCCCTGTAGTCTACGAGGTTTAGGGGCAGGGCCGCTTGGATTACCAGTATTTTACGATACGTCGAGGTCTACTCGTTTGTCGGAATGCATTCATTGCATGTAACACCTGGCGATCACAACAAGGCAAATCAAGCTCCGAACCAAGTAGTCTAGACTAGGCAGACAACGGCAGTAAGAAACGTGTTGGATGTCTAGTCTATAACAAAACGCTGCAACCGTTGAAGCGATAATGCTGCGGTCTACTTACAGTCTATTCTAGGCTTTATAGACAACGCAGCAAGCACTATGGTGCAGGGATACATGGCCGTCGGTCACACCATGTGAACCGCTGGTGCTTACTGTGCAACATCCGCGTGCAGGAACACAACACACCTGAGAGAACCGGCCAGCCACCACTCCAACCACTAACCCGGCCAGAGCCTGGACTACCCCCTTCGCTGATGCGTCAACCGCGCACCACCCCAGCAGCAGCGCAAGCAGCGTTGTTCTTCGTCTCGTCATGATTCGTGCCACTCCTCCGTACCTGCGTACAACGCGGTGCCAAAACCTGCGCAGTTAAGGGGAAGGAACAGCACTAACACTGGGTCCGGGAGAGAGAGAGAGAGAGAGAGAGAACCACTCAACAATGGAACATGTCCTCTGTCGAGTGTCTGCGGTACGCAGGGTGTCAGGTAGTTAACCTCGGCGGCCGCAAAACGAAAAAAGTCCCGCCGCGGGACCTGATGGATATTCGGTGCCGCTATGATTCGCACCTACCACACTAGTCTTGCCCTCTGTCCTCTCTCTCCTGGTATGCCTTGGGCAAGAGAGCGTGCGTAGGCGCACGCAAACCTCTGTCTCTGTCTATCGTCCGTCATCGTCCGTCATTCGCTCTTGCGCCTTGCGACGCCCAATTGCGCCGCCAACCACCCGGGCGGAAATTCAATGTTCCCCGTAGTACGTACGCCTCCATCAACGCCCCGCCAACAATCTACAAAGAAGAGCTTTTTCGTAGATACTTGCGCGATACTCTTTGCCTGTCGCTCGCTCCACTTCGCACGCACACCCCACTGGCTCACGAGTCCTACGCTGCAGCATAACCTAGTTCCAGTACCGTCCACCTTCATTTCGGCGAGGATCGACGTGCGTGTGCGATACAAGAGCACTCCCCAGTTTCCCCCGTGTGTGCGCTGGATTAAATTTGCTCTGCACGCGTACGCAGCCAGCAAGCATGCTGCCTGTCCTTCGACGAAAGATGGCTACGGCCGTTGCAGCCGCGCCGCTCCGGCGTGGAATCACAAGCGAGACGAGATCGGTGAGAGCCGGAAGCTGGTAAACAGATGTTGGCGTGCCGTGCACCTTCTCAGTCTTGCTTTGGTTTGACTTGGCGTGTCCAGGATATCATCATGCGCCTGCTGCTGCCTGTACAACCTTCTTTGGATCAGCATCCGCGATTGAAAGTCAGCGCTCCTTGTGTTTGTCCCGTCTGTTGCTGTTTTCCAGTGGGCGCTGGCCATGAACAAGCCGCTGGAGGAAACGGACCCGGATCTGTTCGATATCATGGAGCACGAGAAGGTGTGACTCGCACAGCGGCAATAGCACTTGTTCGACAACCCTGGGCAGGCAACCCGAACTGCGATACCTTGTAGCATGCTCAAGTCAGAGAGTGTGTTTCCGCCGCGTCCCTGAGGTGGCTCCCGATTGCGGTACATGTCTGTATATCCCTGCAAAATGGTTGGATGCCCTCCCCGAGCCATGAGAGCCTCGGCGTGACCACTCTGATCACGCAGGCGGGTGCCTGGGGCACGCTCGAGACGCGTGGCGCAGGAGACCAAGCTCCGTGTCGCTGCCTCTTGTAGATGTTACGCAACGCACATGCGGCGAGATTTTCACGGGCTGCATGGCTGCATGCATACATAGCCAGCAGCCAGCAGCGCCTTGAGGAAATGTCGGCATACGGCTGTTCTCATCGAAAACAACTGCGCCCTCAGCTCCCATGTTCGCTGCCCGGCTGAGCTGCAGACACCAGTCGCTGCAGTTTCATACATATTCGTTTCTCTGCGGGGCTTTTCGTGTCGAAACAAGAGACGGCGAGAGACAGACACACGAGACAGCGACGAACAAGACGCGCTGTCTTTTTCTTTTGCAACGTACTTCCTCACGCCGGTGGCAAAACTGCCCGCCCCCATACGTAGTACACCACAGAGCAGCGCAATTTGGGCATCTCCGAGGGAGGATACAGGTTTTTTGAACGCCTGCCCAACATACGGAGCTCTCTCCCAGACACACAAGAAGTCCAACATTATTCTAACACTTGGAGCGTTTGTCGGGGTGTATGTACAAGACTTCCATTCCCACAGTAAATGTCACGGTTTCGGACGGGGTGAGGACAGCAGCCGATCTTGATTCTGACGAATTTAACACAAACCGGTAAGAAAATGGTGAGACCAGACCCGTGTGTCCGCACATACTCCGAAATGTGTCCGCACATATGCATACCCGGTACATACGCGTACCACACTGAAGATACGTTTGAAAACTGAGGGAGATTGCATGCTCTACGACTAAAAGAGTGCCACACACAAAACGCCCGACTACCCAACAGTACCTAACACATTTCTTCTGCACCTTCCCAACACAACATATATGAGACACACAAGACAGCTACCAAACTGTTTTTTTGAGCCTGTTACCCGCAGGGGAGATGTCCCTATATGCTGTCTGGGAAATCGTAGACATGCAGGTACTTTCTGACGCTATGAATTCATTGCTAGTCTGTCTCAGACTCTTTTCTACGATAGAGATGGATTCGTTGTGTCATGTTAAGAAAAATAAAAAAACGACGCACAAGCATGCGCACACGACGTATCACACGTAAGACCAGTTGGAACGTGTTGGGCAAAAAAAACTTCGTCGCACAGAACCAGCGGGTGCGTCTTGCCTCCACCAGCTTAGATGGTGTGTATGTGTAGTCGCCTGACACATGCTCTCAAAAGAATGAGACATTTTCACGTTTTTCGCAACTCGACAATGAAGGTGAAACAGGCGACACAGCGGGGTACTCCAACGGTTCATTGCGAGAGACCTCACATTAGATGCTCTATCTTCAGTAGAGGACATATGACATGAAGCAGCGACACGGGTGTTGGCACGCTCGCATCTGTTACTGCCGTACATGTGCTGGGGCCGTGCTTGCCAAGGTTGCAGCTACCGACCAAATAGCCCGCAAACCCGTGGGTCCAAATCATCCATCTTCCACTGTTGCCCTCGCCGTCACAGACCCAATCACCTGCACTGCGGGTGTATAGCAGGGCTGGTAGCTTTAGCTCCCTTGGAAGAGGCGCACGTAGGGGGGTTGGGGGTGATGGTGGCGAATACAGCAGTGACCAACACTTGCTTCGGATCCAAAATCGCGGGGGGTTCAGCCCGGCTTAAGCGTTCTACAGCACGGCCCCAGCAACGAATCTGAGGGCGCCAACCCTGAATTATATTGTGCACGCCTTGGAAATGCATATGGCCGAGCGGAAGTTTAAGGTTCGGATTCGGCTGACTGTTTGTTTTTATCCGACCACCCCCGAATACGACCTCCTCTTGATCGCGATACACTGTCTGAAGGTTAACTAGCTTGTCTTTACCGGCCCCTCCTCTTGGTCACGATACGCCGGTCTAAGGCTTCACTCTCTTGTCCCTACCAGCACCTCCTCTTGATCGAGACTCCCTCTCTTGAGGCTGAACTAGCTTGGTCTCGTTCGCACTTCCATTCTTGTCCATCCCTACCACACTGTAGGGTGCGGCGAATCGGGTAGGCTCGAGACAGCGGGTTCAATCACGACGCCGCCAACCGTCCGTTAGCTTTTAGCGTGAAACCGTTCACTAATAATTGCTCGTCTTTTTTTCACGCTCCTGTTGCGCCGCAACCCGACGACTTGAAACTTCGTTACAGGTGCGGCAGAGGGACAGCCTGGTCCTGATCGCCTCGGAGAACTTCACGTCCAAGTCAGTATACGACGCGCTCGGCTCCATAATGTCCAACAAGTACAGCGAGGGGTACCCGGGGGCACGGTACTACGGCGGCAACGAGCAGATCGACAAGGTGATGGGAATTTAAAGTCGTCGTGACCGTATTCCGTATACCTTTGGTAGAGAGCGGATCGATCCGAGACAAGTCCTTGGGGTTCACCCTTTATTTGGGCAGACCGACAGCGTGGTACCAGCACTGGATGTGTGTACCCTGACTTGCCGAGAGCAGGTCAATAAGGCCCTAGTAGCGCGTAGATGTCTTTCTTATAAGTGAGCAGACCGGAAAAGACGCTGGATTTGTCTTGACTCATAACAGTGAGCTCCTCGACGAGCAGTAAATGTCTGCTGTTTCTGAAACCTTCGCAGTCCGGGGCGGCACTCGAGCAGCCCCGAGGCACTAGCACGCGCTCTGAAGCGACCAACACTCTTTTTCGATGTAGTTTCCAAGTTTCGACACTCATACCCACTGACGAACTCGCACGAAATATGCATACGTAGATCAACATACTACACTTACGTTGACGAGGCGGCAGCTGCTTCACCATAACATGCCCTTGTCAAGAGCAGACACTTTGGTTTCAAAGCCCACTTACTTTGCCTATTTTGTCGACACGCCATGGACTTCGTCGTCCGCGGCTGGGCGGAGTATGTAGCCGTTCAACCACTAGCGGGTGCTGTCGAAAAGTGGGCGGCACGTTTGGGGAACCACTGTTTTGAGTTCTCCACCACTGTATTGTGCGTCCGGGCTCTATGTACTACGTAGGTGGAGTCGCTCTGCCAGAAGAGAGCACTGGAGGCCTTCGACCTCGACCCAGAGCTGTGGGGCGTCAACGTGCAGACGCTGTCTGGAAGCCCAGCGAACTTCCAGGTACAGTACTGCTGTACATCAATCTCTGTCTGCTGGCATTTTTTTGTTTGCGCTCGGTTGTATTCCCAGTGCTTTTGTCGACTGCTTCCGACACAAAACGTTTAAAACTTATATTCCGTTGGCTTGGGTCGTGGTTCTCTGTTACCTCTCTGCTGCGTTGTCTGTCGACGCTCTCTGCCGACAGCCAAATACCTTGTCTGATCGGCCTACCGACACGCGCATGCTGTCTGTTTCGTGATACAGGCGTACACGGCCGTGCTGCAGCCGCACGACCGCATCATGTCCCTCGACCTCCCCCACGGGGGTCACCTGTCTCACGGCTACCAGACCGACACCAAGAAGATCTCCATGGTGAGAAGGAGAAGACACAACCATATAAACCAATCGTCATTTGGCATACACGCCTAGCACTCGTTAACTGCCCTTTGGTTTGCTCGTGACTGCGCACGAGTTTGCTATCTTGTGACTTGTCTTGGACCATGTTCGTGTGTTTTTTTCTTGATGGTTTTGTGTTGTAATGCTTTTATATTTGCTCGGCGCGTTCTATGATGACGCACTCCCCGGCAATCCCCTACTGTCTGTCTCCCCTCAGCCTCGAAGCCGAAAGCAGGGGATGCTAGCGCCGAAAAAGAGGGGGGTGGCGTAATTGTTTCTTAATATAGTCCGCAAGGTTTTCATCCGGGATGTTATCCGCACATCACACCCACACTAGCTCTCCAAGAACTCGGCTGAGTTTTCCCCAGGATGCCAGCCGTTGGTCACTCCCGCGTGTGAGCGTGGACGTGTTGATGAAAACGGGATTGTACATTCACGGCAAGTTTTGTGGGTATGGTGAGACCCTGTTTTACAAGGTACCCTGACATTTTTTCTTTTTTCCCGTCACATCTACAAGGACCGACAGCAGCATTGTTTTTTGAACAAGCTGCGTTGAACGCGTTTGTGGAGATGGCCGCGGCGTGAACTGTCCGTGATACTCACGGAATCGATGTGTTCGGAACGGAACTAATCCTTCAACTTTTTTTATCAGGGTTACTCACGGAGCGGTTTTTTTCCACGGAGTGGAGCGGTTTAAACCGCTCCGCACCGCTCCGTGAGGTTTTCCCTTGAGAAAAAACCGCTCCGCTCCGCTCCGTGACATGAACAAAAAAACCGCTCCGCTCCGTGAGAAATCTGCGCTCGGATAAACCGCTCCGCTCCGCTCCGTGGGGCTTCCCAACAATCCGTACAAGCGGTTTTTTCACGGAGCGGTTTGCCCTACTCCGTCACACAAGCACGGATAAAACCGCAGTACAGCCGCGGTTTTACCACGGAGTAACGTTTTTTTTCACGGAGTCACGATATTTTTTCATTTTTTTCTGTTCTACTTTCACAGCAGCCACACAGACACGCACTCCGTGCACACGAACCACACACACTCCGTGCACATCAGTTCGTGTGCACGTCTGCCTATCTCTGATGGAGTCGACATCCGACCCTGGCGACCGCCCTTCTGGCGACCGCTCTCCTGCTGGTGCTGGTGCTGGTGCTAGTGCTGGTGCCGGAGGTTCTGCTGGCGCTGCTGCTGCATCAGCAGCGGCGCAACCTGGGGAATCCCGCCTGAGCACGGTGCGTGCAGCGTCAAACGCACCGTCATCAACGTTCCAGAGACCGTACCACACGGGAATTTGTCGGGAGTTTGGACGTTTTTCCAGAAGCTCAACAAGCCGTTGGACAACGGGAAGAACACGCGATGCATCGTTGCCGATGAAGACGTCAAGGAATGCGGCCGGATGTACAAGCACGTGGCCAAGAACGGCACGCGTCCGCTGCTAGACCATTTGCGGACGAAGCATGTTCCACAGTACGAGTTGGCGATGAAAGCGAGCAACAAATCGGCAAAAGCGAAGCAGGAGAGAGGCAAAGCATACGCTACGGCTGCTGCTGCTCGTGGCCAATGTGCCCCATCTTGTCCATGCTTGCTCGCGTGTACCTTTGCATTGATCATTATTGACAGCACTAGTTGCCAATCAGAGAGGGACTTTTCGGGGCTGGGATTCGTGTACAACAACCTTCGGCAGGCGATGATGCCCGACCGTGTCGAGACGGTGATGTTCCTCCGGTCTAACCCCCATCTTATTCCCGAGATCATGAAGTTGGACAATGAGTTGGGGAAGCTGCTTGCAGCGCAGTCTGTTGGGAAGGCTAAATAAAGCTGCATCTGTCCAAGCCGCTTGTGCGGGAAAACAGGTGGTTGTCGAGGTCGAATCTGACTGAGCGACATAGCGGCGTATGTTTTGGATGAATACACAAGACGCCTGGTGTTACCCATGTGCTAGTACTGGCAAGTTTCAACGAGAGGCAAATGAGGAATTAGCTGCTGTTGTACGTGTTGCAGGAACGTATGAGTCGGGAGGTATTAGTACTGGCAAGTTTCAACGAGAGGCAAGTGAGGATTTGTCTGCTGTTGTACGTGTTGCAGGAACGTACGAGTCGAGGAGGTATCGATGTGGGGAACGGTTCCTTTGTGAATAATTGATTAGTTGACAGCTTTTGGTTCTGTTTGGGCTGTCCTAGCGACGAGGACGCATACGGTGTCACCGGCGGCCTCCAAACACAGCACACCGTGTGGAAAAGTCGGTTTTCGGTGTACGAAACCCGACGTTTTTCAAGAAATTGCAGGTACTCCGTCGATTTGTACGGATATCCGTGCGGTTTTGACGTTTTTTTCTGACGGATAACCGTCCTCAAGGACACGGTTTTGCTCGGTTTATGCTACGGAGTATACAAAACCGCTCCGTGACAAAAACCGCACTACGGATTAACCGCTCCACACCGCTCCGTGACATCAGAAAAAAAAACGCTCCGCTCCGTGAGACTATTGCCCTCGGATAAACCGCTCCGCACCGCTCCGTGATATTTTCAAATATAAAAAACCGCTCCGCACCGCTCCGTGGAACTAAAAAAAAAAAAACCGCTCCGCGGAGCGGTTCTACTCCGTGAGTAACCCTGCTTTTTTTCTTGTTGTTGCTTGTTCTTTGGTATTATAGGTGAGCTCTTTCTACGAGACATTCCCCTACCGCCTGGACGAGAGCACGGGCCAGATCGACTACGACACCATGGCGGCCAACGCCAAGCTTTTCCGCCCCAAGGTATGTTTGACGAGAGACAGTCAGAGAGAGGGAGAGAGACACACACACACACACAGACAGCGACAGAGACGGCGAGTCTTTCTTTTTGCAGTGATGGCGCCAGACCAGCTGAGCTGTGAAATTTTCTTCGGGTCTCAGCAGGACATGGTATTTGTTATTTCAATCTAAAATGATGGATTTCGCTGACCAGCCCACCACCGAAGAGGCGTTGATCTCAGCGGGTAAGTGTACAACAGGTCCCCGCAAGAAAGCTCAAACCATACGTCGATTGCTGTGTATTCCCCTGGCTGAGTGCATTGGAGAATTTAGTTCCTTGTTCGTGTACAGCATGATCGATTCGTGGTCCGGCTGGCGACGCTTCGCAGTCGTCCGGATCGTGCATCTGTTAGCGTTTGTTTTCTTCTTCGTGCATTGTATGCAGTGGAGACGATGATAAGCCTGATGTGCAGGCATTACCCTCGTGAACCCCCCGTATCCCCACCACCTTCGCTGCTCCCAGCTGTTTCGCCCCGTCTTCACATGCAACTAGCCATCGACTACACCCGCCCACCCACTCACATGCAGCCATAGCATCGTATGATAATTGATGGTAAATTTTATGTCGACCTACTGTGCCGAGCACATCTGCAACCTAGAATCAAGCTCACACCTGAAACCTCGTCTGGAATGTGTCCGTTTGTGTTGTAAACCCCCTTTTGTTTTTGTTGACTTCCCCAACGCCGCCAAAAGCTTATCGTAGCTGGAGCTAGCGCGTACTCGCGCAACATCGACTACGCCCGCATGAAGGAGGTCGCGGACGCCTCGGGGGCGTGGCTGCTGTCGGACATGGCGCACATCAGCGGCCTGGTCTCGGCCGGCGTGGTGCCGTCCCCTTTCCCCTACTCGGACATCGTCACCACAACTACCCACAAGAGCCTGCGAGGCCCGCGCGGGGCCATGATCTTCTACCGAAAGGTGTGTGCGTGATTCTGTGAGACAGAAAGGGCTTTGCAACGGGAGTCGTGGCCTTGGCTAAATACGTTGTGCTCGCAAGTGTCGAGTATTTTTGACCTCTTCCGGGAACCTTTGTGTCCGAGTCATCCTCCGCCGCTGCTCCCCTCTTCGTTGGGGAACGTTCTACGCTGAGTAGCAATGTTTTTTATTTTTGTCGACCTACAATGTAGAAACTTGGGGGTCTTTGACTTTGCCGGCGGTGACACGCTCGACGTCACCAAGCACGAGCAAGACAATGTTACACTTACGCCCGCACGCACACACACCTGCATCGGCGCGGCCTGTGTGGTCCATTTCCGAGTTCCTCTTCCCCCCGGAGGCAAGCCAAGCCTGTATGTGTGCTCTGTGTTGGTGCCTCTGCCTCTGCCGGTTGCCGTCACTTGATCTACGCTTACAAGGACTACTCGTACAGCGATAACTCCCTCCTGGCCAGATGCTGCTTCCGATCTCTCTTTCCTTGCCCCCCCCCCCCCCCAACTCACTATGAAGCGAAAATTTCAAGTCCATCGTTTGTTTGCTCGTTGCTTCTGCTGCTGCTGCTACTGCTGCTGCGGCTGCTGCTACTGCTGCTGCGGCTGCTTGCGTATCCCCACCCAATACGGCTACGGCTGGCTCCTTAATGTGCAGGGTCAGCGCGGCACAACGAAGAAGGGGGAGCCCATCATGTACGACATCGAGAGCAAGATCAACTTCTCCGTATTCCCCGGTAAGACTTGTTGACAGACAGACACAAAGACCGCATTTTGTAGGGTTGGAATAAATGCAAGCTGTATATCTAGCGGTCGCACGCCAAGGGCAGTTGCACACGAGATCGAGGAGGATCATGTTTTGATGAGTGTGCTCGACAAAGACAAGCATCTTGGTTTTTACGCGGGACGCGCTTTTGGTGTCCTGTCCATCGCCGCCCGGCAGAAAGACACAGCAAGCAGGCAGGCAGGCACCAGATTTTTACGTCTGTCCCCGAATACTTGCGGGTGCCTGCATCGTGTTTGCCCCCGCGCGTGCGACGTGTTTGGCTGCTGTGTAGTTGTCACGTGTGAGTCAAATCAACATGAATGCGTCAAGAGCACTGGTTTTGATGGTTGGTTGGTTTTGGCCCTCGTTGGCATGTAAGAAGTTTAGACTGTGGCCTCGAAGTTTGCCCGAAAATTTCTTCCGGCGACGACTTAGACTTGGTGCTGTGACGCGGAGGCGTTTACTGGGAGAGCGGTGCGTGGAGGTATAAAATATCACATCACACAAGATAACACCACCTTAGCTCTTCCGCATGCTTGGAACACGGCAATTTCCGACTCCGAGGCTCTTTTCTCCTGCGCACGTACGTTGCTGAAATGTTTGTTTCGTCTTGTCCCCCTTTTCCCTCACGGCATCATCCTTGTGGGTACCCTCAGGGCTGCAGGGTGGGCCGCACAACCACACCATCGCCGCGCTCGCAACGGCGTTGAAGCAGGCCAAGGCACCGGAGTACGTGGCCTACCAGAAGCAGGTGACGGCGGCGACGAACGATATGTTAGCCGAAACACACCTCCCCAACGGGACGACCTGAGTGTGTGCACGTTTGTACCGCTCGAGCTTGGCCCTAATGTCCCTACGATATCTGTGGTTGCTTGGATGTGTGTTGTGCGTGTGCCTGTCGTTGTGATGGAACACGTCACGAGTCTTGGTTCCTCTTGATGGATGTGGCATCCCTCGGGTATTGTTGTTTTTGTAACCCTTTTAGGCCATATTCTTGCGCTGCTGTTGTTTTCTAAGTCACTGGCTCGTGTAAAACGCGGCCGATCGCCACGAGCCAGACGCAACTAGCAACTAATAGCGTATCTGAACGGAACGGAAACATGCAACAGGCATCAACAAGTGTGATACGAAGCATGCGACAAACAGAACACTTGGACAATAAACACCAAGACGGCAAATATCCCGTCGAGTCAAGGCGACATACACCTTGATTGCGCAAATTCAACACACTCGAATTACAGAGGATGGTCATTATGGCCACCCTCTTCCGCTGTGCTACTCCGGATGATTGAGTTGGGATAGAATCCCTTGTTCCTTTCCCGGTGTCTCGGGCTCGGGCCCTCTCTTTTCTTTGCTCGACTTGGTGCTCTTGCCCTTGTTTTTCTTTTTCCGGCGTTTTATTTGTCGTTTGTCGTTTGTCGTTCGTCGTTGGCGTGGCGTCATCGTGCCAAACATCCCTCTCCCCAGTATTTTTCAAAAATGTTGTTTCCTGAAATTGAAGTGCCCGGAGAACGCCCAAGAGGCTGTTCACCATTTTTCTACACATTCTTGTCAACTTGCCTTCATCTGTTGGGATTTTTGTTCCGTCTCCCCCCTCCCCCTCCAACGTTTTGTCGACACGGACACTCATTTGTTGCCGTGTAGGTGGTCAAGAACTCGGCGGCGATGGCGGAGAAGCTCATCGCCGACGGTTACCAGCTGGTCAGCGGTGGCACGGACAACCACCTCGTGCTCGTTGACCTCAAGAAGTCGTCGGTGAGGGGGTGGTTTGTCATGATGCAGCAAGTAGTATTTTTTGTCGCGTTCGTTCCCGTCGTCGTCACTACTGTATGTAGGGCTAGTGCAAACGCTTTTTTGTCGCACCTCCTCGGTGTGGCGCTACAGCAGCGTTTGTACCACTCCGCGCTGGACATGACGCGAATGTGTGCGAGACGGCGCACACCACTGGATACCAGGAGGTACTTGTGCGTGAGCACGTGCTGCTGCTGCTGCTGCTGCTGCTGCTTCTGCTCTACGCACGTCGCTTCGGTGGAATCAACGAAAAAAAGCTTTCGCTCATTCGTCCCACCTCACCCCTTACTTACAAGTATGATTTATCCTTGGCTCCTAGCCATCTCCTGGTCCTAGGTTGGAAGAAGAATAATACCGGGTTACGCGAAAGGTTCATGTATCGGTGACGGAAGTTGCAAGGGGAAAGGCACCACATCCTTCGCATCCACGCATCCACAGCAAGCATCGAGCCCACGCCACACTAAGGCACATGCGTGAATGTGATGTAGAGTTGTGATTTCATTTCATTACGCCAGGCTTGCAGTTCATTTGCCTGCACTGGTGCTGTATGCCTGCATGCATACATGCGCGCTAATGGTGAGTTGCTTCTGTTTTTGCGGTTTCAAAAAGTCAGTTGTATGGTGGGTTCGATCCTCTTCGTATCCAAACCTGCAGAATATCGACGGCGCGCGCGTGGAGCTTATGCTCGAAGTCGTCAACATGGCCACCAACAAGAACACCGTGCCCGGGGACAAGAGCGCGCTGACCCCTGGAGGCATCCGCATGGGCGCGCCCGCTCTCACCTCGCGTGGGTTCACCGGTACGTGGGGCGTTCCTCGTAGTACGTGCGGTAGGCCTGTTGGAGATTTCTTTCGTATTGGGTGCCAATTTGTTTTCGTCGCGTAGTTGATGTAAGGCGTGTCTGTTTTACGATACCGTTGAGGTTGGTGTTGGCGTTGCATCGTTTCGTGGGTTGTGCTTTCGCTTGTGCTTGAGACACCCTTCGGAACGCTGCCGTCAAATGGATGGTACGTACGGTGTTTTTCTCCCCTGGTTGTTTTCCCTCTACCCCCGGGCCCCCTCCTCTCCATGTGTACTGTATACCCCCCCCCCCCGTCGTGTGGGTTTGACACTTTCTGAGGCGTCATCAGTTAGACTTGATACTCTCCATCCCACTCCTCCGTGATTTCCATCTCACTAGTCTTGTATTTCCCCCCACAACCCCCCCCCCCCGCCCCCGCCGATTTTGTGCTTTTGCAGAGGAGGACTTCGAGCAGGTGGCGGCGTTCTTCCACAGGGGGGTGACCCTCGCCAAGAAGGTGGCCGCGGACACGGGCAAGATCAAGGCCTACCGCGAGGCGCTCGCGGACGGGGGGAGCAAGTACCCCGAGATCAAGCAGCTCAGGGACGACATCAACAACTTCGCCCGCACTTTCCCGGTCATCGGGTTCGACCAGGAGACCATGCGTTACCCGGCGCCCTGAGCACAGCTTCCGCGCCTTTTTTTTTTTTTTTCCCGCTACGTAGATTTCCAAGGAATGCTGCGGCTTGGCTGGAATAACGTCCGTGGTTCGTCCGGCGGCCGTTTTAACCTCCCGTTGCCATTATCTGGAACGGGCTTCGATCAGGAGGGAAGGGCTGATACGTTTTGGCTTCACGGCGGGCCGGCCTGTGTCCTGCCCTTTCGTTCGTCCTTGTCCCTTTCGGCAGATTGTTCGTTCGCCCACCTCCTTTGTAGTTGAGTTTGTGTACCACTGCGGCCTCCTTGTAACCGGAAGAGGAAGAAAAACGAGTCTAACTGGATTGCAGAAGACGTTTTTTGACCGAACGAGACGGAATGGCGTGGAATTGGATTTCGAAAATCTTTTTTTTTTGTGCGATAGACTGCTATCGTTGGGCTGTTTTGGTGTTGCCTTTTCCTCCAACGCATTAGACACACGACCCCACGCACGCGATCTCGCAACCAAAATGTGCGACGAGAGGAGGAAAGGGAGGCCGAGGGGAATTAAAATCAATCATGGAGAGGGTGGGAACGGGACTCAAAAGTTTGGCGCCGTTGCGGTGCTGTGTATACAAAAGTACAGACTGGCTGACTTGACGTATCTTGGTATCTCCCGCTCCACTCTCGAATGTAGAGGGAGAAAGAGAAATAACGAGAATTTGGTGAGAGAGAGAGAGAGAGAGAGAACGACCTAGTGGTGCAAAGCACACGTTATTGGTCGTTACTCGCATGGCTCAGCGTTTCATTCGGTTGTACGGGAAACCGGGGGAGTAGGGTGCGTGCCGTGGGCCCCTACGTTGCCAACAAGATTAGCTAGAAGGCAACCGGCCGGAAATATCTGAAAACAGGGGTTTTGATGGCCGTGTCTCGGGAGACCGAACGATATTCCACATTGGTCTTAATACGTATCATGTGTTTGTTATGAGCCTAGGGCAGAGGTTTGTGTATCCTTGGCGCTTGTTTGTGAGTCGGTTGGGGTGCAGGGTGGGGGCGGGTCGTTCTTGTCTGTTTTATCCGGCCATTTTGTCCCGTGCGGGCCTCTACAGGTTAGTCATGGATCGTTTTTCGAGTTGTGCACGGTTTGTTGTTGTTAGTGAGAGCAAAAAAAGCAACGAACACACCGCGGTGTTTGGCACGCCACAACTTGGCAACGATGTCGTTAGCGTGCGTGTTGAGGTACAGGTATGCATAGTTGGAGAGGAGGGGGGGTGCTGCACTGGACCAAATGTGTTGGGGGATGAAGCTGCCCTGGTGGTCTTTAATACTTTAAAGTGCCGAGTACTGTCGGTACTTATGTTCTGACATGACATCCTGTTTCGAGACTTATTGGACTCGTTTGTTTGTTGTGGTGCTAGTGCCGTGCACGTGGACGCGAACAAGGTCCTCACCACGATGGCTGCATGTATGCTTCAACGCAACTCGTAAGGTGCACATGGACGACACACAATACATCGACTAGTGGAGGACCACCGCCCTACAATCAAGCAGCGTTAGCGTTTATCGACGCCATCTAACGTATACGGTACACGCGTACCCCAAGCCGCCGGAGAAACAAACTCCTGAGTTCATTCGATCTCGACCTTTCACAACATATAAACCGAAGAAAGCATTATCATCGCGTCATGTTGGTCATGTTCTGGAGGGCAGCGACACTTGCGCTTGCTGTGCGCGTGTTACGGTACCGCCGCCACCATCCTCCTTATTCTCCTGCTCCTCCTGTGTCTCGTGGCGCAGGATCGCCTCTTGGAGGGCCCTCTGCTCGTCCGCGTCGGCCCTGAGGCTGGCCACGTTCGCCGCTTTCCAACGTAGGTTGCCGTGGGTCGCCTGCAGCCTCGACGCCTCGGCTGGGGTCACGTCCTGGTAACGATCAAGAGCAACGGACAGAGAGAGAACCCATCATGATGAACAAGGGGGAAATACAGAAAGAAAAGGGAGAATGACTTGGACGGGTGCTCTCTGTCTGCCTGTCTGTCTCTCTCCCCCCCTATCTCTCTCACAAGCGCTTGGGCTTATGCTTCACGCAATGCCGAGTCCCAACGAGCATTCTCCATGGTCATGGCCCCTACACAACAGATATGCATACAACACACCGCAACGGCGCGCTACCCGTGATGGTGGTGAAATGCGCCGTGGCAAGAAGTGCGCGTGGTATCCATGTAGATACCCCCGCGAGTGGTGGCTTGGCTACCTCCCACACCCTCACTCTCACCTCTTGCATCCGCTTAAGGTAGGCCTTGACTTGCTCCTCCATCTTGTTCTCCACCTGCAGGAGCAGGTCTGCCGCTGGCGCCGGTCCGAGCAAGTTGTCCTGTGGGAGGTTGATGCAATGCGTATGGGGGCGCGGAAGTTGGGGTTGGGGCGGAGGTGGGGGTCTACGACTCGCAGCAGCAGAATAGCATAATGTAATGTTGCGTCATTTTGTGTACTCCCTCACTTGCATGTAGGACGCACGGTCGCAACACACAAGAGCGCACGATTGGTGGTCGTGTGTCTACCAGCGGTATGAGTGGCAAAAAATAGTTGCGTGAGGAGCAAAGGAGCACGGTGCCCCGCCGCCCCATTGGAAGAGAAGTTGTACGGAGCTCGGGAAGGACGCGAACTATAGCTGGGATAACACGGCTGTCAGGACAAGGAATCGGCGGGATGTGGCTGTGACTTGGTGCACGAGACAATGTTGACAAACGGACGGCTAGATCTGGGAGATATGGTACATGCATTTTCGGTCGCCCCCTTGTTAAGACCTAGGCTAAAAGCCGTCGAGAGCGGAGATGTTGCCGCAAGTAGGGACGAGGAGGCAATGGTGGAGAGGGACGCGTGCGTCACGCACGGCCCACACCTCCCAGGCAACAACAACAAAACTTTACGCTCCCCCGCCTCTTTGTTTCACCCACCGCGCCGAGCTTCGACAGCGCTCCGTCCAACGATCTCTTGTCCTCGCCCACCGCCCCGGATGCACAAAGCACGTGAAACTCTGGCAACGCCAGCGGGAAGCAGCGCTCGGGGAAAATGAAGTAAGACGCGCCCTGAACGACAGAGAGAGGGAAGAGGGAGGTGGAGGTGGGGGTCCCCGTTACCTTGAGTTGGGGGGAGGGCGGGAGGGGTGTGTGTGGGGGGGAGGGTGCCGGGTGTTCGTATTTCGGGGGTGAGGCGTCGAGGGGGAACGCGCGTACAATGTATGTGCATCTCTCCAGGTGTGTATGACAGAACCCCAAGAATCGCGTCGCCGATCAACTGGCGCGGGGGTGGGAGTGGAAGACCCGGTGCAGCGGTTCCGGGAACATGGTGCGGTTTTCATCCCGCGCGTATTCAGGGCTGAAATGCCGCACGCTCATAGACAAGACGACCGACCAGGACAGACCAAGCATTGCCCCATACATGACGTGCCCCGCACCTTCGAGTGCAAGCGAGCCAGCCACCAAATTTCCTGCTGTGACACAGCACTGCCCCACGCATGATTGAGCACCGAAAAGTTACTCTCGGGGCGAGCCACCCAGCACGAGACTATATATCCCCCACAGGTGCTCACTGATTTTTCGGGGTCCTCTTCAACGTCACACGCAAGTTTCCGGAGGTTTTGGCGTACACCAATTCGCTCCACGTTGCGGGGTACTACAGCTGTAGTAGTATCCCAGCCAACACCTATTGTTCGGGCTGCGGTGTACATCGGTACCATCACACCCCGGAGTCTCGCACATGAGAGGCCACACACAAAGACACCCTCTTTACCTTAGCCGCGCCACCGCTGTCCTCAGCCTCACCACCGGCGTCGGCGAAAGCGTTCCTCTCGGGTGTCGACGAAGACGTTGGCGACGACTCTCGCCCCGCTCCTCCTCCCGCCGGAGCCTGCCCCACGACGCGGGTCACGCGCCCGGACGCCTCGACTCGCTCGACGAGCTCGGCGGGCACCGTGGCTCCTCCAACCCTTGCCAAGCTCGCACCTCCTCCTCCTCCTCCTCCTCCTGCGGCTGCTCCTTTCTGCACCCCGATTCTCCGGTTGGGGCCACGTGCCCCACTGCCTGCCGCACCCCCCCCTCCCCCCCTTCTGGGAGGCCTTTCTTGGGCGTTCGTGTCGATCTGGGCTTGGTCTGGTGGGAGGATGACCGCCAGCTGAAGGATGACCGCTCCGCTAGCATCGGCGGTGGTGATAGGGGTGGCGGCGGAGGCGGTGGTAGTGGCGGTGGAAGACGCACTCGAAGACGAAGAAGTCGTGGAAATTGCCGCCGCCGCAGCAGCAGCAGCAGCAGCAGTAGCAGCAGCAGCAGTAGCAGCAGCAGCAGTAGCAGCAGCAGCAGCTGCCGCTTGACGGGGGTCCGGGAAGAGCACCACCGCCGGCCGCCCTAGGGCTGACAGACCGTCGGAGCATATTGCTTCCATGTCTTCACGCCCACTGTTGTTATTGTTGTTGTTGTTGTTATCGTTGTTTCGTTGTTGTGGTCGGAGGTGTGGATCGGGGTTGGCACGGCCGCGCCGGGGGACAGGTAGAAGGGCAAAACAACAATGAGGCGTGAGGTTTTGGCGTAAAAGCAACAAAAAAAAGGTGTTTGCCGATCGGAGCGACGAGGGCATTAACGGCAGAAACGGCAAAAATACAGGAAAACGACGACCGCAACAATGCGTCGACCGACAAGCGACAGCAGCAACGCAAACCGACAGCGACCAATCGTGTCTTCCAGCATCCCGGAAAATACAGGGGAACGTATGTGTATGAGTGGATGGAAAATACTGAAGTACGAGGTACCACACGTCACAAATGAGACCGGACGTGGAGGAGGACCGCAAAAACGCCAGCCACACCTGACGGAGATGTAGAGGCGGACCGTCGGCGACGACTTCCCACCCGACGCCAAGAATCCCTCGCAAAGTCTGACAAAAGTGAAAAAAAATACATGAGTTGACGGAAATTCAAGTTGAAAATAGGACTCGACAACAGTCGCGAATGAAAGGCAGCAGAATTGGGGGGAAGGAGAGGGAGGGCGCATGAATCTCGACTGATGGTCCACTGCCCAGGGGTAAATTTACCCCAAAAACAAACACGTACGTATAGCAAGTTCGATCGTGAGAAACAGACAGCTCGATGAGCCTGGAACTAAAAATAGTGTAAAGTAGCACACGAAGTACGACAGCATAACGTATCCGTTGACCTCTCTCACCTTCGGTTGTACAGGCGACACGCCCGCAAGACGTTCATCAGCTCCATCCGCCTGTAAAATGCAACACACATCAATCAATGGAGCACACGCGAAAATATTGCGGTATTCTTAGGCCACATTGAGAACAAACGTGCTATTATTGCCCCTCCGTCTCCCGCCGCCCCTCCACCTCGCCCCCCGGAGACCTCTTCCACCTCACCCGCTCTGCGTTCTCTGATTCTCCAGGACTTCCATGCGCAACCTCTGGAAGTCCGGCGAGTGATCGCTGAGTTCTTGTATTGCGACCCCTTGAACGACCCGACTCTGTCGCGAGCACGGCGGCGAGCGGGGGGAGGGGACGGGGGGCACGAGACTTTTCACTCAGCTGATGAGAATCTGAAGTGCTTCGAAACCAGTGAAGACGGTACCGCCTTGTCCGAAGGGTTGAGGGCGGACGGGGTGAAGGCACACGCAAGACGCGCGATACGACGCGACCTGAAACGGTGCTGCTGCACCTAGAACAACCGAATCTTGACCGTGCCTTGTGGAAGTGACACACTAGGAAAAATCCGCACGCGCGCGCAAATGAAAGAACAAGGGACGATCAACAGAGCCGGGTTTAGACCAGGCGGCCGGCCCCCGCCCGCCACAGCCGCAAGCAAGCAGCCAATCAAAAGCCTCCGGCCGTTTCGGTCCGCCAATCAAGCGAGCAGCCCTTCTATCGTGATACTAACCCCCTTTTGGTATAGGTTGTACTCCGCTTCTTTAGGTTGCATCTCCAAAACGCCGGGCCTCACTCATGTGCCGCGCCACACGGGGTATATCCCGCACAAGTCGTGGGATTTTCGTAGAGTGGTGACAATATATTCTTCATACACGTCATCCAAATCACCTGTTGCTGGGCCACGAGCTGGGCGTAGTCGCGCTCCAGTCGAGTGCGCTTCTCCTGTGCACAGCGAGCAATACCACATCACCGCCGACAGCAAGGCGCCGAAGTAACAGCAGCGGCGGCAGCATCAGCAGCAGCAGCAGCACACCCGTCGACCAACAGGAAACGAAGAACAGCCAGTCGTTTAGGCTCAACGAACACCAACCGCTAACGAGGGAGAAGATGGGAAAACATTGGCTGTGCTCCTGTGTTTTTGTCGCTACTACTACATTACTGCTGTTCCGCAAATCCCTCAAACCCTCTTCCCTTGCCGCGTTTCCCGGACGACGTTGCGGTCAGTTTTTCGACGCAGTTATCCCTCCTCTGCCCGCCCGCTCTAACAGCACCGGTTGGGCCGCTGCCAATGCCCGATCTCGTCTCCGCCTACCCGTTACCCTTCGACACAAGTTCCTCGCTGCCCATTGCTACGCGGACCTCTTGGGGGCCCGGGCACACATGCGGACCGCGTGGCATCCATCAGCGCATGACGCGACGATTTCGTTTGTGTGAAAGGCAAAGAGTGCGTCGGTGGGCTTGCCTCGGCGACTAAGGCCGTAGGACACAACCTGCAACCACCCACCGAGAGGGGTGCGCACTACACACCCCTACGCTCGGACTTTCTTCGTCCGACAAGCGGTCTCTTTGTCCGTCCGTCTCGTCTGCCTCTCTCTCTCTCTCTCTCTCTTTCCTCGACTCTTGTCGTGTTCCCTCTGTTCGTCTTCGATTCATCAAAGTCTCAGGCTTGTAGAACTACTCCCCCATCCCCACGACCAAACGCTCACTGTCCCAGCACAGAGAAAAGAAGCAAGACCACGTGTCGCTTACCAGCGCCCAAAATAACCTATCTTCCTCCTTAGCCTTAGCCTCCTCCACCTGTACTCTCTTGTCGACCTCCTTGCAGTACTGTCTCTGTAGCTCCAACAGGTTCGACTCCAGTTCAAGAAGGTTTGCGGCTTGAACCTGTGCGGGTGCGGGAAGCGGGGTGAGCTCAGTTTGTTGGTGCTTGCCCCAGTCGCTTGAACGTTTCCCGCGCTACGCCTCTTTGAAGGTGGACAGCCTTTAGGAGAGAGAGCGAGTAATTTGGGCGACCAGAAGTCAGTGGAGGCGGCAGAGTGCCGAAGGAGGAAAGAGAAGAGTGCTCTATGAGAGGGGAGACAAACACCCGTCAACCATGCCCCGCAAGACGATTCTTGCCTTCGCCCGGTGCAAAAAAGGACCTACCCCGATGATAGGCCGAAAGTACCGCAAGAGAACAGCATGCAGGAACGCGGAGGCTTAGGCCACAAGGGATGGGAGGGCACTACCAAACCTTTCCATAAGAAAAAAAGTGGTAGCAGACACGGCAGGCGTCTTACACTCCTACAACACCAACTCGTTCTCTCTAACGTGACCATCGAAGTTGTTTCCCTTTCCCTGAGCAGCGAGCAGCATGTATACCCCCTGGTGTAGTGTAGCAAATGAAAAACGAATTTCTCTTCGTGTGTCGACATCTCCAAATCAGTCGTAACCGCCCGACCTTTTCTTGTCTGGATTGCTCTCTTGAGATGGCCGCCCTGCCCTCCTTGACCAGGCCTTCCAGCGCCTTCAGCGCCCTCATCATCTCCGCCTTGGCCTCCGACCCTCGCTCCACCCCACCATGGCGGGCCATCTGTCGTTGTTGTTGTCGTCGTCGCCATTGTCGACGTCATCGTTGTTGTTGTTGTTGTTTTGTGTTTTTGGAGGAGAATAACGCAAGGTAGGCGGCACAAACGAGGAGCGGACACACATTAGGAGAATTGGCACTGCCATCAACCAACGAGGACGGCCAACCACCACGACTACCACAGAAACGAAATCGGTATCAAAAACAACAACAACAACGACAACAACAACAACAACAAAGGAGTCGAAACCTCTGATCCAGCATAGCCCCTCAACGTACGTCTGATCAGATGCAAGTCCGCATGGTTCCAGAATCCAAAAACGTACCCGTCGGGATATGCACCCCAAACAGAATACTTGGAATGGCGGGCATTACTCCTCTGGTAGCCCGTGGGGCGCATGTGACGGGCTCTACTGCGGGTGCGTCCAGCTCCTGCCTATACCCGCTGGGCTTCATCTCTTCATGATGTCTTTCATACCTCTGCCTGCTGAATCTCGGCGAGTTTCCGGCGTTCGATGTCCTCTAGCCTCTCCTGGTACGCCAGCGCCTACACACACACGTATCGCGCGAAACATGTTTCAACATGCAGCGAGACATACCAACGCACGAGACGGGTGCCATGGGTGAGACGACGGTGGCGAAAAAGCACGACAAGCAAGCCAAACGAGGAGGAGGGAGCCGAGGTAGAGCCCTCAACAACAACAGCAACAACATTTTAAAGAGAGTGGGTTTTAAAACAACGACCGTAGCAGCAACCGCCACTAAAAGCTAGGTATTTTTCTTTGTTGTTAATATCAATGAAAACCATCGCAACGACGAGGGATCGATTGGGATTCAACGGAATTGACAGCGGCATGGCAGCAAAAACATTTCAGGAGCCCACCATCACCACCCGTTTCTCCCGTGCTTGCTCGAAACCAAGCATATGGCCTCGTGCTGAGGTGTGGCCGCTTTTAACACCGGGGTTCAGAGCACCCCACCTTTCCTTTCCCGCCCTACGTTTTAGTTTGCAGGAGTCCATTGAGTAACGGTTTCTTGACCCCACAAACAATTCGCCATTGCCGCCAACATCGGCAGTAATCAGCAGCAACACATTTCTTCGTGAAAAACAACAATGCGGCATGTTCCCCCTCTCCGCCTCCTTCCCGCCTCACCTCCTGCTCGTACTTGTGCTCCACATCGGCCCGGTCGGCCTCCATAACCTCCAACCCATCCAACCGCCGGACCTGACCGAAAACCGAACGGGCATAGGCATCCCGAGCGACGGGAAGATGGAGGGGGGGGGGGGGGGTCTTCTCAATCTGTTTAGCTTGTTATTTTATTCCTGTCATTGACCAATCAGTCAGCTGTCACTGCTGTCCCTTGCTCCGGCGAAAGTCACGCTACATCACATGCAGACAGGGTTGCGTGTCAAGAGGTACGGCCTGGCCTCCCTTTACCCGCCGGCCTCATTGCCCCCCTAGCGATTTCCCGGATGTAGCCCACGAACAACGAAGGCTGCAGACCTCTCGACAGTCGCTACGCTACACGGGAGCAATGGGCAGACGCAGCCAATAACAAATCTCATGAAAAACAGCTTCCAGTCGGTCACACACCCCCCCCTACTCGTGCCAATGCCCGAACCACACTAAGGTCATGCTTTACACAGCGAGCACATTCTCACACGTGTAGAAACATCTCTTGCGTGCGTGTTCCACGAAGTACTACCTTGCCAAAGGCAGAGCACATACATACGTTCTCGCAGGTGTAAGAAACGTTCATACTGCGTACTTTACACTCAGTTCTACCTGGCTAAGGCAGCGCAAGACGAAGCTCCGGTAGCCCGCCTTAGCCACGACGGGGCAGGTGCCGAAGTGGATGTCGTCCAAAGTCAGCTCCATCAGCGAGGGGAGGCCACGCAACCCCGACAAGTGGCGAACGCCAACAATCGGGTTTCCAGCCAGGCCAAGGTTCTGGAAGTCGCACCCCGTCCCAGAAGGGGAGGGGGTCGGGGGGCGCGGTGGGGGTGACGGGGTGTTCTCGTTGATGATGTTCGTGGCACATCTCCGGACGCAAAGTCCGTGGGATGGAAAGCTCGTCGGATTTTCGGATTTCCCAGCACTAGGCGGGTGTACTACGAAAAAAAACGTGTTTTCAGGGGTCTGTCAAGCAGTGGGAGAGCAAGGCAGGTCCACGAAATAGGGGGGGTAGAAGAGGGCGTGGCGAGCCAGGTAGTGCGGAGGGCAAGAGAGCAAGGAGCACACCAAGTGTCGTTCTTCATCTACAACAGTACTATCGATATTCCGTACACCTACAATAGTACTATCGAGATTCCGTACACCTTGTACGCGCATACCCCTACACAACACAACCACCAACTATGCTCCACCACAAGCACCACCGCCAAGCCACCACCACTACCACCAACGACAAGCGAAACCGCAGCAACCACGCCGAAGTATACACCACCATCACACCTGCAGGTGGACAAGCGACTGCATGCCGGCCGCAGCGGTGATCCTGTTGTCGTGTAGCCACAGCTCGCGCAGAGCGCCGCAGTGGTGGAGCCCCTCCATGACCGTGATGCGGTTGGAGAAGAGCCACAGGCGTCGGAGAGATGGGCATCTACACATACACAGACGGTGTGCATGTCAAAGAAAAACATTGGTGGCATGGTGCGGGGCGAAACGGGAGCCGGTAGGCGTTAGCGTCACGCGCGAGAACACAAACATATAGTGACCTTATTAAATGCTCTTGAAAAGCACCGGGGGGAGCTGACAGTGTTCACCCTTGGAATCGAGATCCAGCTTCCTCGGACTGGCATCGCGCACAAAAGGTGCACGAACTTACAGATAACGGGGACCCTAGGGGGATCAGCTGGCGCCCCAGCGCGGGTTCGTTAGGGTGCCGTGTGTGCATGACGCTCCTGTACAACGTCGCACTAAACTACGGCAGTAAAAACTAGACCGTTGTCTTGGCATGGTATCATTTCACGCTCGCTCGTCTAGTGCGAATCTGCCGCGCTAATTCCTGCTGTATCGGAGTCTGCTGAAACGAAGGAAGCCGCCATAGTCCACAAACAAACTCGGAGAAAACGCTCTCAAAGCGGGTTGGTTGACGTGGAGAAGCCACTCGCCCGTCCAACCCCTCGATCTTGGATATCTTGTTCTGGTGCAAGTAGAGCTCCCTGAGACCCGGCAGGCAAAGGCCTTCCATCTTCTTCAGACCCTTGTCAAAGAGTAAGGCAATCCCAAAAGGCAGCATCAACGGCAGCAGCAGGGACCGCGATGAAGGAGCTGTGGTTTATTTTTCTGGCCAGCTGAGTGAGGCATGCGCCCTGCACCCGCCAGAAGAGAGAGTGCCGAAACCAGGTAGGGAAGCAAAGAGTTTGCTGAGACAAGTCCATGTAGTGCGCCACGAATAGCTTACGCCAACACGCCCACAACGTTGCATCAGAGAAGTACCATCCAAATTCAGACCTTCCAAGCAAAAACTGTCAATACACAACTCTGTACGCCACCTGGTCGCAGAGGCACATCTTGACCAGGGAATGTCTCACAGGCTCCAGGTTCGAAATGCGCCGCAGTCCGCAATCGATGACTACGGCCATCGAACATGGTACACCAAACAAGTAAGGTTCGGAGCATCGGCGGGGGGCAGGCGGGCGTTGGACCCGGGGGGGGGGGGGGGGGGGGGGG